GCGTCAGCCCACATTTATCTGGTACCGACCACCTGTCACATAGCCATCCACCCAGGGGACACAGCAGTGAATGAGGCAGTAGGGCATCAGCTCTTATGGAGCTTACCGTGTGGTGGGAATGTGTGGGGGAAATGGCCCTGAGCTCTGTTCTGAGTTCACTCTTCTTGCAGAGCACATGCTGCATACCAGCACGCCACACTGGCATGGTGCTGTGCCCCACGGGGCCTGGTTCTCAGGCCTGCAATTTGCCGCCTCAGACGTGCGGGGAGCAAGCAGCAGCCCCTCATTAGGTTGACTTAAGTGTTGCCCAAGTACCTGTTGAGCGCTGCTCCCACAGAGTTTACCAGAAACTCAAGACAAGTTGGACAAAGGAAACTGCTGCTCACCAGCAAGGTAGTACAGCAGTACCCTGGGGTGGGTGACCGTGTGGTCCATGGAGCCCAACTGACTGTGACAAATCCGATCCTGCTTACAGACTGCAACCTCAGACAAGTCACTCAACCTTTCTGTGCTTTAGTTTCCTCATCCTCCTATTAAAATGAGTGGAAAATAAAGTCTACATCATAGGTTTATTATTAGGATACTCTTATTAATATGCAAAATTTACTGGGTAAATAATAAATGTCAGAATTACTAGTACTGGTTAGTAGTAGTCTTGTGTGTCCTACATATGGCACTGGCATTTCATAAAGCAGATGACAGCTTCCCTCTCCACACCTTGAGAAGGCCCCCGAGGAAGGCCAGAGACCCACAGCACAGGCCCATGGCTACTTCAACTTAGTCTGTAGTGTGAGTTCTGGGGCATGTGCGGTTGGAGGCAGCCAGTCTTCGGGGGATCATGCATATGGATGGGAGAGACCAGAGGCCACCGATCCTCCTGCACTGGAGTCTCCACCGCTGCTCCTCAGTCACTGCAATCTTTCCTGGAAAGCTGCTTGGCAACACAGAGCAGAGCAGAAGGTGAGTCCATACCCTTTGACCCAGTAATATCCCTTCCAGGAATCTGCCTCAAGGAAATATGCAGACAGGTGCACAGAAATGTATGAGTAGATTTGCTTTTATTTTAAAAAATGGAACAAGTATCCGATAGTATAGAAATAATTAAAAGGGGTACATGTCCAACATAATGTGAGATGGACTTCAATCACATCTTTAAAGACTAGCAGTGAGGGCTGGGATTAAGCTCAGTGGTTCCAGCGCCTACCTCACAAGTGTAAGAACCCAAGTTCAATCCCCAGCACCAAAAAATTAAATAAATAAATAAAATAAAGATTAGCAATGGGCATAAAGTTGAAAGAAAAAAATCAAGCCCTGAGCGTGCCTACTCCTGTGCCTCATTTGCTCCTCTGAGAAAAGGATCACAGAGAGCCTTGAACAAGGCCCTGTAGGACCGAGGCTGGCTGCTAGGGTGCTGGTGATCTCAGGAGCACTCAGCAAATGGGCTGCTATTGTGAGCTCTCAGTGTCTCCCTGGACAGAGGAACAGACCTCTCATGTGATCAAGCAGGAACAAAGAGCTCAGAGAGGTTAGGCAGCTGAGCAGGGCCACAATACCTTTCGGTTCTCCCAGGACAGTATTGCCACACATCTTTCAGCTGCCCAGTGATCCCACCTGGGCAGACATTACTAAAAGTGTCAAGCCTGACAGAACTGGGTTCAGGTCCACATGTCACACTTCAGTATATTTCACAGAGATAGAGAAAACAATACAAAGATACATTTGTGATAAGAAGAGACCTAGGACAGCAAAAGCAATTCTAGGCAATAAAGACAAGGTAGGGGGATCACAATTACCAACTTGAAACTATACTACAAAGCTACTCTGATAAAACAGCATGGCACTGGCAAAGAAACAGACCCAAGGACCAGTGGAACAGATTATAAGATGCAGAAACATTTCCAGACACACTCAGCCATCTCATCTTTGACAAAGGAGCCAAACACCCTCACTGGCAGAAAGATAGCCTCTTTAATAAATGGTGTTGGAAAAACTGTGTTTCAACTTGCCAAAGATTAAAACGAGACCTATATCTCTCACCATGCACTAAACTAAAATTGAAATGGATTAAATATCTAAATATTAAAACAGAAATACTAAAAAAATAAAAAATAAAAAAACAGAAATACTAAACTTTCTGAAGAGAGATTAGGTAGAACTCTTGAAGACATTGGTATAGGAAAAGATTTTATGAAGAAAACCTCAGTTTCCTGTGAACTAGCACAAACAATCAACAAGTGGGATCTTTTCTTTATTAATAAGCTTCTGCACAGCTAGAGAAACAACCAATAGTGTGAAAAGACAATCCACTGTGTGTGAAAAAACACTTTTCACCAGCTGTTCCTCAAAGGTCTGCTATCTAGACTATATAAAGAACTTTAAAAAAAAAGACCTCCCAAATTTAAAGACCCAATCCAAAAATGGGCATCTGAAATGAACAGACATTTCTCAGACAAAGAAGTAGAAATAGCAAATAAACATAGGAAGAAAGGTTCAACATCACTGGTCATTCAAGAGATGCAAATGAAAACAACACTGAGATTCCGTCTCACCCCAGAAAGAATGGCTGCTACCATGAAATCAACCAATAACAAATGGTGATAGGGCCATGGGGAAAGAGGAACCCTGTTCTGCTGCTGGTGGGGGTGTAGATTGGTACAACCACCATGAAAATCAGTATAGAGATACCTCCAAGAACAAGGATTTGAAGGTCCCATTTGACCCAGCTATCCTCCTGCTGGGTGTCTTCCCCAAAGAATTGAAAGAATCATACAACAGTGATGTATGTGCATCCATGTTCATAGCACGGCAATTCATGATCTGTGAATTTGGAAGCAGCCCAATTGCCCATTAGCAGGAGAGTGGATAAAGAAAATGTGTTTTTTTTTTTTTCTAAATAAAATGGAGTACTACTCAGCCATAAAGAATGAGAAACTAGAGACATTTGTAGCTAAATGGATGCAAATTGGGGTGATACTTTGAAATAAATAAGACACACATGTGTAAATACCGAATAGTTTCTCTAGTGTGAGAAACTGAAAGTGTAAATAAGGACTAAAAGGTATAATCGATAATGTGAAACAGGAAGAAAAGGTACGAAGGGGAAGGGGAAGTGGGAGGGGTGGGGGAAAGGAAAGAAGGGAATGGAATTAACATGAGAAAAGGAAAAAATGGCAACAAAGTCTTTATAGATAGGGAGGGACTGAGGGGTTGAAGGGAGAGCAGGGGAATGGGAAAAATAAGAATCGGGATGGGTTATGTAAAGGTGCAAATTTTCAATTTTAAATGTCATTATATTGTGTACCTTAAATGTACCAATAAAATTAATTTTAAAGATAAATTTAAAAAAACTAAAATATAAATTCCATTTGTCCCATAAATTGCCCTTCTAGGTATCTTCCTGAATAGTTAGACATATCATACCACCCTGATGTATACATAGCCATGTTTCACACAGTACAATCAAAACAGATAAATCTTGAAAGTGGCCTCTATTTATCCATCGAACATGGAGGAATGGGTAAAGAAAACGGGGCATTTACATACAATGGACTAACACTCTGCTCTAAAGGAAGACACATTGAAGTCATTTGTAGGAAAACGAATGTACCTTGAGACCATTAAGCGAAATAAATCAGACACACGAGCTTGAATATTGCAGTTTTTCTTATCCGAGATGTCTAAAGTATAAATAAATTAAAGAGCAAAATAAAAGACATTAGGAAGCAAGAAGATAGATCTTTTGCAAATGTGAAGGCAACCAAGACATACTATGTGTGTGGGGCGGTGGTAAAGGGATGTAAAAAGGATTAAATATGTTATGAACACATACCAATTCCCCACGATGAATATAATCATTATGTACTGCCAACATGTACTGATGAAAATAAAAATTGAAAGAAGAGAGAGAGGACTGTTAGGTCCACTGGCCCAATATCACCTGTGATCCTCCAGCTTCCTCTTGAGTTGAGCAGCTGCTTTCCTGCTTCTGGTGTGGCCCACACCCTATACAGACAGCTCTGTCTGCCCGGAACTTCTGCCTGAGGTCCAGCTGAAGTCTGCTTCCTCCTTCCTTCTAACCATGCTTTGGTTCTAGTTCTATAGGGAACAAGCTGATCATGGCGACTGATTTTCAAACATTTCAAATCCACTTTGAGTATCTTGATCATCTTCCTTTGAATAATACCATTTACAAAGACTGTTTCTTCTATGTCTAATTTAGCCCTAATCCTTACAACAGCCAGGCAAGCTGGAAGCTTAACCCCATGTCACATGACATGAAAATGGGCTGAGGAATGTATAATTGGCCAAAGGCCACACATAGGTATGCGCTTTAGGGATGCAGGAACACAAACCCGCCTGAGGTTGGCTTCTTTGTACACTTGCATTTGCAGAATAAGCTCCAGTTGTTCTCCCTTCTCCAGGTGGACTGGTAAAGGCAGAGCAAAAGCAACTTCTTTGCTCTATGCTCTCAGCTACAGTACAGCCAAGGCTTGGTCACAGCATTTGGTTCTTTGTCAAAGGAGAGGCTTGTGCGTGTTGGCTACATGCTGCTGCTTAGCTGAAGTTCTGGCACTGACTTTTGCTTCCTTTCTACATTTGGGATTTGTTGAACCCAGTTCATACTCATGTTGATTTGTATTAAACATCATCTTGCTAGATTCACTTATCCCTCTGGCCAAACCTTTTGGATCTTTGTTCCATCATCAGTCAATACATTTCCTCTCCCTGTATTATGGTTTACTGACACACTGATGAGGAAATTCCCGAGAAACAGTGTGTGTGGTGTCATCAGGGACTCAGCGCTCTGGAATCAGATTTGTGGTTGAATCCTGGCTTCGATACTTAATACCTTATGACCTTGAGTAAAGAGGCCAAGCACAGGTGCTTAAATTTTCTGCTCACAATGGTAATCAAGGCAGTGCCTGGGTCACAAAGGCAGGTAGCACCACAAACATGTGACAGTATGCCCGGCACAGGTAGGGCCATAGGTATAACCTGGACAGTCCCAATCCAGATGAATGATCCACAATGTTCTGGCTGAGAGGAGAATTCTAGACAGCAGCTCTTCAATTCCACCCCAGGTTGGTCCCTCTGGCATCCTGGGCCCCATTCTCTGGGAGAGGAGGGCTGGCTTATGTATGCCTTGGATGTTAGGTAGATTGCCACAGACAAAAGGGCTGAGCCAAATCTGAGGCCCTTTGAGTCCACTCTCTGCCCAGTGGCCAGGAGTGCAGTGGCCTTTCAGCGACTGTGGCAGTCCTTGAAACAGACGTTATGGAGGCCCACTCTGAGGGCAGTGTCCCTCACAATTACCTCCTCTTCCCCTCAACCACCTTCAACCTGGAGGTTCCACTGAACTCCACTCTGCCTCCCACACAGCCTGACCCAACTTTACTCCCATACCCACAAGGCAAGTGTTCTCAATCCCTCCCGAGGCTGACTAAGCTACTCTCATCTGCATGGAGGAACAGCCGAGGTATTCAGAAGAGTGTGAGGGACTCAAAATAGGTTCTCAAGAAATACATTTCAAACAAGAGAGTGTGATAAATTTGAGTTTGTAAAATATAAATCTTACTTTCTTTGATTTATGATGAAGTTATTTCCAGATAAACCCACTATAAAGTGAAAATATAATAAATTGAAATTGTATTTAATACCCAATGTTCTTTTTAAAAGAGAATGTCCCAACCCATACAAATAGTTTTTTTGGATTTTAATTAACTTTATTCACCTTTCTAGAATCAAGTAGTAGTCAAGACCAGCAATATTTCAGAATGTTCCATTCCACCCAAAGCAAGTTATACTGTTCTCCAGAGAAAAGGAGGTAAAGTACAGAAAACAGAAGTGAGGTTTAGAAATACCCTAATAGTTACAGCTCCCATTTGTCTTTTTTGAATAAGGTTTGAAGAGTTGGCCACTTATGATTGGTTAGATTCAGCAACTTACCAAAGTAGATTGTAGTCTGTTTACATATCAAGTTAGGTTGCAGTTCACTATGTACAGAGAGACCTTTAGGCCAAATTTAAAACATGTGCAGAGGCAGCTTGAGACCAAACAGTTCAATGTAACACTATGACTCTGACAGCTTAGTAATACAGAATGCTGCAGAGGCCATTTGCTATTATGATGTGGTTGACTGGGCACCATGGCCGGCTGCCATTGCCCAGCATCTCAAGAGAGTATCCAACCACACATTGCTAGCCCAGGAAAAGGTCAAAATTCAAAATGAGAAGTGTTGTTTCCACTGAATGCAATTTTGCACCATCATAAAACTGAAAAGCCCTAAGTTGAACCGTTCTAAGTCTGTAACCCTTGAAATACAAAAACTATCCCTTTACCAACTAATGCTTCCAGAAGGGGCTTTGCGAACTTATCTTAGAAGTCAAAACTATGCACAATAATTTTCTTTTCTTTGTAATCCTAGTCCTCCCAGTAGCAATGGGAGGCTCTGGCTGGACCTACAAATAGTTGGTAGCAGACATGATAGTTGTGAGAGTTGCAGGCAAGGCCACAAATACAGTTGACAAGTACTTCCCATGCATAACTGGGGTAAACTCTATTAGCATTAGCATTATTTATGCAAGGATGCTAGCGGAGATGCCACCAATCCCAGCAGCTTTGAGCTCACCTCCAAATGTAAGGACCTGGAGGTCAGGGTTCTCACAAGACAAAATGACAATAAATGTAGTATATAAGATCTTAATTGGATTTTATTTGTGATTATGGAATCAAAGAACATCTCATTTTATTTTGTGCTGATGAGTTCATCAGAGGAGGTTGGCTTTATACACAGAAAAGATCTGAAGGGAGCAGAAAGAGGTAAAAAATCAAGCAGATTGGCCAAGTTACTTTCCTTGTAAAGGTTAAAGTAGAGGGGATTTCCTTATCATGCTGGGTGCAACTGGCCTGCCTGGGGATCTTGCTATTATCTCTTTCTCCTAATTTCTTGGAGGTCAGATAAGTACCTTAGTTTTGGTTTGGGATGTGTAACTGCACCACGAGAAATGTCACTTTGGTCTGTTCTATTGCACCTAGTGCAGAAGCTCAGTCGAAACCAGTGGCTTCCTATAAATTTTATTTCACAGGATCCTAGCCACATCGGCAAGGCTTTGGTTTGCTGCTACCTAAACCCATAATACCTGGACTGGGGCGTTGCTGGATCAACTGAGAAGATGAAGTCAAACACTTCAATTTTTAAAAATATTAGTTATTTCTAAGTGACCTTTGCCCATTGGCGTTTGTGTCTTCTGGAGCATCAAAGATTTATTAGAAGGACAGAGATCTTTGGGACAGTGAGACAAGCCCTAAGGCTGAAGGTGCATGACTTAGTTTCTAAGCCACACGGCCTTTGGAAGTCACTTGGTCTTTCCAAGTCAGGTTCTTCACCTAGAGAAGGGCCGTAATACCAGACTGGGCAACCAAGAGGCATTTTTAGGAAGGTGGCCCTCCTGGCTTCATCCTGATTCTGGCACTTCAGGAAACAGCTGGGTGGCATGCAGAGGCCTTCCCAGTGCTCTCACATGACGTGCTCCTTCCCTGGCTGGTGAGCATACTTTACCCACCAAAATTAGATGACGTTATCTGGCCGATAGCAAAGTCCTGGAGACTGAATGGGTCTCAGACTGCCACACCTCTGCTGTGTCTGGGAGCAGTCCACTGAGTGTGGTCGCTGCCTCCTTCCATGCCTGCTGAGCCCCAGCAGTAAGCAGCTTCCGGGCTGACCACACAGATGGCCCCCCACCCAGCCCCCACCTTCTAGTCTGTCACCAAAGTGATGCAGAGCAACTGTCTCTGAGAGCAGAAAGCAGGTGCCTGAGCTCTTACCGGTCCATTAGTTGCTAAGTTGGAAGTTGCCCTGCTGCCTGGAGCCTGAGCTGCAGGTAGACATCCCAGGTCTTGGGCAGGACAGCTCCCTTAGAGGAGTCTGAGAGGTCCCCACTTCACTGGTCTTGATCCCCTGACATGTGCTGGCTACCCAGGTCATTTGAGGGTTCCCAGTCATCAATGAGCGGGAAATGTGGCCAGAGAAACCCATCTCTCATCTCTTAGGGCAGCTTCTAGAGCAGGGAACATGGAATTCTGCAAAGCCCACCACTTAACCCCCAGATCACTCCCCTAATTACCAACCACAGGGTTCGTTTTTTAAATATTTACAGTGTTGTGGTCTCTGGGCTAGGAGGTAGATGATGAATTGGTGTCCTTGCCTCATGGAACTCTACACTGCCCAAATTGACAACAGACGAGACCTTTACCCACCCCTTTTTGCACTTGAACTTTCGACCCCCTGGGAAGTAGATGTCAACCATTGTGCCCATTTTTCAGACGAGCCAAAGGGAGCTCAGGTCAGTCCTTCCTGGTGAGCTGCCATTGGGCCACAGAGCTCCTGGCTTCCCTTCTTAGGGATGGAGTGGGTGGCATGGAGCAGTCTAATTGGGATACCAAGTAAAAAGAAAATTATGAAGTAGTGCAATAAGAGCCATCATAGGGAAATGTGTGGGCTACTTTTTTCTTTCAATCTACTGGGTTTGAACCACAAAGCCTTCCTAGGGGGAGGGACGCCATCTTGGATTGACTGATGGGGGCTGCTGGACCACTATGACGAGATGAACACCACGGAGGCTACAACCTGGCTCCCTGTGAAGAGCATCTTGGTAGACTAGCAATGTCCACGGCAGAAGGGAGATTATGACAGAATTTGTGCAAAATATTTGCTGGCCCTGTCTCAGGCCTGAGTATGAATAAGTGCATTGGGTTCTTTCTACGGAACTGTCAAGTGGAGCATACATCATTTTGATTATATCAAACACTCATTATTTCATATGAGTCAGGCATGACCCTAGATGATTTTGCAACGACCCTCTGAGGTAAGAACTATTTTATCTCTGTTTTCTGGAAGAAGAACTTGAAACTCAGAGAAGTAGAGGACTTACCCATCACCATGGCCGTCAGAGGTCAGTGCTGGAAAGAACTTATGTAGTCAGCTGGTCCAAACCATTCTTTTCCAGATAAAGGAAAGGAAGCTCTGCAAAGGCCAGTGTTCTATCCAAGGTCATTCAGAGCGGGAAGGCTGATGGTGAAAAAGAGAGAAGGGCCACAGATCCAGCTGGCCAGGACATGGGCTTCAGCAGCCAGGGCCTGTGGAGAATTGGAAATTTACTCAGAGCAAGTTGGTTATGAGGGAGATGAAGAGCCCAGACTGTCCCAGCTATGTTTCCATTTTCCAGCCTTAACAAGGCTGAATTTAAGCCGGGCACACATCTGCCCCACTAGAACTAAGCTTCCCAGGCATCACGCTGATAGGTGTGACCACATGGCGAAGTTCAGGCTGAAAGATGTGAACACCAACCCCTCTGAGTCACCTAATTATGGACAAGCTACTGGACCTGCAGGCCCTCGTCCCCTGCCTGATGTCTGAGACATGGTGGCTAGCGGGCACTGCCTCCAATTCGGAGGCCTCATGTGACAGGTAGCAGAGCCATCCCACTACAGCCCCTGAATGGCCTTGATGCACAGAACTGACACTGGAGAAAATAACACTCAGGGACTCATGCAAGCCATCAAGTACACCAGTTGTGAAACCAGTTCAGAGATGATCTTTGCCACTCCAGCCTGGCGCTAGCTCCATGGATTCCCCCAACCACAAGGGACCAGGACCTATACTCCCACTATGCACTAGAAGGGGAAGAGTCATGACAAACTACAGCTTATATCCCAAGTCTGATGGGGACCAATCCAGAGAAGCACTGTCTTCTCCTTGACAAAGCCCAAAGTCACAATCCTTGTGACTGCATCTCCCAGTGGTTGGCCCTCAGACTGGTCTGGGAGTCTATAAAAAAGCCTTTCAGGCTCTCCCACCATATGTTGGCCTGGCCCAGAATCCCCAGGCAGGGTGCAAGGCTGCGTGCTGCTTGCTGTCACCTTCCTGGCACCTAACCAGGGCCAGAGGATGAAGTAGAAGCTGGGTGCCTGGGTACTGGACAGACAGGTGAACAGAGAGCTGGATGGGTAGCTGAGTTCCTAAGGACAGCACTCAGATCCTTACTGCTTCAGGGCCTGCCTGGGGCTTGGCTGACTTCCTGCCCTGTTCCCTTAGCCTCTGACTTTGCAACTCTGGTTTCCAAGCTGCATGTCTTGGGTTGGTTTGATTCAATTCCGGAAGCACCTATTGGGCACCTGCCAAGTACCATGTGCTTTTCTGACTTTGGGGGCAACACAAATGGGTTGGCCTTTGGATGGAACTCTTGGCCAAGAAGAATCAAGAGACAAGGACTCATGGAATAATCAACACAGGGCAAAGTGGCGCAAGTACCACAAGGCAGGCGGCAAGCCAGTGTTTCAGGGGCACTGAGGAAAGACTCCTGCCTGCCTGAGTGTGGAGTGAGATTGGAGAGCTTAGGAAGATTTCCTGCAAAGGTGACAGGAGAGCAAAGCCCTGAACAGTGCACATAGGTTCAGAAGTGCTGGGTAGGGAATGTTTCCAGGTGAAGGTGAGCAAAGTGTGAAGGCAGGAGTGTGACTGCCTGTCTGTGGATCAGAGGGCAGGGACAGCTATCTGGCACATGAAGAGCTCTCGTTTTCAGCTTAGTAGCAAGACAAGTGCTGATGTGCTCTCTTGCTTTGACAGAAGAGAGCTGGGCAGATGTCACTGTCCTCTTGCTGTTTACTTTGGAGAGCTAGATTTCTCTGGGGGGTGGGGTTAAGTCCTCTCACCCATGAATGGGGGACCAAAGCTGCATGAGCTGCCAAAGAGCCACCACAGGAGGAAGCTGCGTGTGGGAGGCATATGTGTCGCCTTTGGGGGTATTGGTGCCAAGTTCTGCTGTGCCCCGAAGGACTCTGACACCTGCCAGGCTGGCTGGCCGGTTCCCCAAGTTCCCAGCCCTGCAATCTGGGCTCCCTGGTCCCTCTAAAGGTGAAGAGGTGACGTCAGCCAGGCCCCTGTGGACATTTCCCACCAGCTCTTCCTCTTCTCCCTGGGCACAGATGACAGAAATGTTCCCTGGCAGCTGTGCAGAGCAAGGGCCTGTGGCCGGGGGTTGGGGGGAGAGTTCCATTTTATTTGTTGACTATAAAAATGTCAGCGCCTTTGGGCAGCTTCTTGAATCAATATTTGCTGTTCTAAGGCTGAGTTCAAATGCTCTGTAATCCTCCCAGCCTGGCCCCTTCCTCCCTCACCTGGATGAGGACTCACTCCCTCACGTATTGGGCAGGCCCCTCCCTGACCAGGCTGGGGAGCCGGCTCCATGCCCATGCCCCCTCCATCTCTAAGGAAGGGCGACCAGGAGCTCTGTGGCCCAAAGGCTGCTTAACAGGAAGGACTGAGCTGAGCTCCCTTTGGCTCATCTGAAAAACAGACACAATGGTTGACATCTACTTCCCAGGGGGTTGGAAGTTCAAGTGCAAGAAGGGACAGACAAGGGTTTTGTCTGTTGTCAGGTCGGGCAGCTCAGGGGCAATTGGAGCAACAGTGGTGAGGGTGAGGATGATGGTGAAGATGATGATGGTGATGGTGGAAGTCATTTGCCAAGGATTTCCAGGTGCTGCTGTTGGCTGAGGTTTCCTTTAGTGCCGTCTTACAGCAGTGATCTGAGTGGAGACAGATCGGCACCAGTTTCCCTCGGGAACTTCGAACCACCTGCTATATCGCAGCTTCCAGAGGCCACTCCTTGATCTCTGACTTAACTCAGTGTGCCTTTTTTGGAGAGTCAGCCTCTCGGCCTGTTCATCACCTCCAAGATGGAGCAAAGCCTCCCTGCAGACCTGCTGTGGCACTTGTAAATACAGCACAGAAAGCAGTGAGCAGGGCATTTTCCACGTCATGGGTGCTTCACGGGTATTCATTCTCCTATTCTAAAGTTGGCCATGCCCAGTCTAACATGAACTTTGCCCCTCACACATGGGTCTGCCCCCGTGCAGTGACATCCTGGGTGCCATCCTGGTCCTGAGAAACCACGAGGCTGCTTCCCTGGCACACAGGAAGCCCTCAGAATAAAGAGGGCATTCAAGTTACTCTGCCCTCCACCTGTTTGGCTTCTGGTTTGGCTTAGCTGCAGGAGCTGGCCGGGAGCTTCATACCTGCAGGGTGCAGAGCCCAGCTGTGCCCTTGGGCAGGTAGAAGCCTTGCATCTAATGCCAACAGTGGCCTTGGGGTG